ATAAAAAAAAGTGGAAAGCAAGTTGGACATCAAAAGCCTCTTTAAAACCAACATTTTGATGACTTAAGAGTATATGAATGAGAAACATACGGCTTGAATTTCCTCCACGATACACAAGGGCTCTTCTGGACTCCCTTTCCATTGCCAAGCTAGTGATGAGGGTGGAAGTTGCCCAATTCTCACATCATCAACAGATGGCTCCCCATATTTGGAAAAACTTCACGTGGCACAGACAGAAAACCGCCCAACTCCTTGGGGCAGTCTCATGCCTGGTGGCTCTTCCGCTGCCCTCCGTATCTCATCCGGGTTCAAGCGGAAATCCCATAGCCGGCAACCTGGAGGCCTGAGGAGGTGGAACCTGTCTTTCTGGGCCTGGCAGCAGATAAGCAAAAGGAACTTGGACTTTGGGAGTAGGCAAAGATTCGAGGCCAGGATCTAGTCCAAAATTTCCCACTGACAAAGCACATAAGCTTTAGTTTCCTTACTGGCAAGGTGGCCTTGCTCGGTCTCTGCTAAAAATGTGTGGATAAATGAGAAGGACACTATACGGCACCCAAGACACGCAGCCAATATTCATCAGCCTGAAAGGAACAGCAATAGAAGGACACAGCCAGATACCTCACATTCTGTGAAGAACAAAGCAACAGCTGGCTTCCTTTGTCCCTCCTGGTAGGAGTAGTTGAGACTGCTTCAGTGTGATGGCGGTAGAATCCAGGAAGCGTGGTCCTTCCTTGGTTTTGTACTGTAGGGAGGAACCCCTGCCCTAAGAACAAGGCTTGACTGATGACAGGAGGACACATTTATTCTCAATGCAGTGGCGGTCCCCCATCCCCCCAAGGCCAGACCCACTTTCAAAGTCATTGAGAGTTGGGTGACATATTTACAATTGTTTATTACATATACTTATTTATTTGTGTGTGTTTATTTATTTGTATGTTCTGTGTAAGCATAGGTGTGCACACATGTACTGTGTAAGCATAGGCGTGCACACATGTACTGTGTAAGCATAGGCGTGCACACATGTACTGTGTAAGCATAGGCGTGCACACATGTACTGTGTAAGCATAGGCGTACACACATGTACTGTGTAAGCATAGGTGTGCCATGGGGCACAAGAGTCACAGCGCATGCGTGGTGGGGAGGGATAACTTCAAGGAGTTGGCTCTCTCCTTCTACCATGTCAGTTATAGGGATGAAACTCAGGTCATGAGGCTTGGCAGCAAGGACCGTTACCAGCCTAGTTAAAGACCCAGGGTGACAGCTTTAAAACCTATCCAACACCCACTTGCTTTGGCACACAAAGATGCCTCAGGGTCCCAGCAGGACCATGCGGGCAAGGCCTGGGGCAGGAAGCACCCACCCTAGAGAGCAGCAGGTAAAGTCTGACTGAGTTTCTGTAGCAGAGCCAGGACTGGTAGACACACACCTGACCACTGTGGGTCCAACTTCCCCAATAACATTTCTTCATGACGAATAGGGCTGGCCAGATGGCTCAGCAGTCAAAGGAAACTGCCGCCAAGTCCGACGACCCAAGTTCGATCCCTAGAATTCACATGATGGAAGAAGAGAACCAACTTGTGGGTTGGCCTCTGACTTCTGTTTATTTGCTATGGCATGTGTGGACACGCACACACTGAATAACTGGATGCAATAAAACATTTAAAGATGTCACCCAAATTCTCAGTCATCCACTAATGACTTTTAAAGTGAGGGCTGATTTTGGGAAAATGTAATATATATTTAATATACTATACATTTGGTTAATATGCATTTAATACATAGTAATGTAAAATATAAATAATATAAAATTTATGATGAATAAACATTAAGCAAGAACATGAAGATGGGGGTGGGGAGAGCCAGCACAATCAGATGAGCAGCTTCGGTATGGCACTTGGCTGCTCAATGTCTTTCTTCAGAAAAAGATGAGAGTTAGTTACTGCCTTCACCTAGTGCTTTCAGAGTCTGCCCAGACTGTTAGGAACCTAACCTCAGCCGGATGGGAACCTGGAAGAGCAGAACACACAAGGACCTTGCCTTCAAGGAGCATATAACACAACAGGTATCATAGATGTGACAAGCATTTGGAAGGAGATGGGCGCATACTCCAGGCAGCACCGGCCTCTGTGACCTTGGTAATCAAAGAGGGCTTTCAGGAGAAAGTGAGTTCTAAACTGAGTCTGGACATCAAGGGGCCCCTAGGAAAAGGAACATTACTGTTTGGGGAACTGCTAAGAACAGTCAGGCTTAGGGAACTGCACATGCAAAGGCCAAGGATGGCATACTTGCTTGGAGAAAATTTTTTGTGTGTTTTATTTGACCTTGCTGTATTTAAAGATTTATAAATTCTCTCTCTCTCTCTCTCTCTCTCTCTCTCTCTCTCTCTTTCTCTCTCTCTCTCTCTCTTTCTCTCTCTCTCTCTCCCTCCATCCCTCCCCCCCCATATCTTGGGTTTCTAGGCTCCTTGAAAATTATAGTATGTGACAAGATATATTTAGGAAAATAACCTTTTTCATGAAACAGTGAGATCCTGGCTGGCATTTCCACTTTTAATGTCTATTTCTTTATCAGTATAGTTCCCGGAGCTTTCTTTTCTATCCTCCTACTAATGTGGATGAAAACATGGGAACTATATATTCTAGAAGTTAAGGGCATACATGGAACTGGACTTGGGTTTGGATCTCTGCTTCTCTTCTAACTTGATGAAAACTATCCCTAGCCCTGTTCCTTAACCTGTATATTGAAGTTCATGCCAGTGTCTGTCTTGCATTGTGAGGATCAAAGGGAGAGAGAAGAATGTGAGGTGGTGAGGTCAGCACTGGCAGATGCTGAGCCTGATACAGAACACACAGGCTGGTGATTCTGGAGCCCTAGTGACAGACAAGCTGAGAGTAACCACAAACTCACTGGTCTGTCTGCTGGTCTCAGCGGGTGGGATCTGTGGTCAAGTCTGTCAAGATGACACTGAATAAAACGTAGTATGTGCTAGGCCCTGCACTTAGATTTTTTGTTTCCTTTCATCATCTCACACACATGATCATGTGTATGCACATAGGTGCACACATATACATATATACATACATATATACACACACACACATATACACGTGCAACATACACAGAGTTTTAAAAGAGGGTGAAGAAAAACAGAATGATGTTTCTGGGAGAAAGACCTGGAGTTTTATTAATATAAACACAAGAGGTTACTGGTTTCATACGCATAGGAAAGTGGTTTCTATGAGCCATGACTCAAGCCACTCTGGAAAATGGCATTAAGTTCTAGTGTCACATTTTAGGACGGAGAGACTTGGAGCAGCTGGGGCTGGAGGAGTGCAGCAGAGAAAAAGCAGGTTGCACAAGGAAGTCTGGAGGACCTGGTATTTGCAGCTCTGAGAATGCTGTCATTCATTAACGTGAAATGCCAGCTCAGTGTCCGGTCACATTCGAAGTATTACCGCAACAACCAGAAACTCTCTGACTTGGGTTATAGCTCAAGGTAGAGTACTTGCTTAATGTGCACAAGGCCCTGGGTTCAATCACAGCACTGAGAAAAAAAAATAATAATAATGACAAAAGAGGAGACGCTGTCTTCACGGTGTTGGTGGGTGCTGTGGCTATCCACCTGGCTTGAGAGAGTCCCATCTTCCAGCTCCTGGTAGTTTCAGTTGGTGGATCATTTTGGGCCCTCGCTGGGAATACCCAAAGCGGTGCTGGGAATACCCAAAGCGGTGCTGCATTCTATATGAAGGAAAAGAGAAGCCTGATCTCCTTATCACAAGCTGAGACCCAGCTCAGAATGCCTTGGGGACTATATTTGCAACTCTGATGGGGTCTATTTCTCCTCTGCCAAATCCCACCATTTCCATTTTCTTACAAGTGTGAGGGCTACACACGAGCAAGCAAGCCATCACAGCCCAGCTGGTAGGGCTAGGAATGGGGAGAACAGAGTATTGTAGGTGCACCTAGGAAAGACATCTAATCCAGGGCCAGGGCATTGTCTAATCAACTTCTTGTTGGTACAACACAATGCTTCTAACTGGATAATTTATAAATATTTACAAATTTGTTTTAAAAAAAAAAAAACATAGTTAGGGCAGTTGGAGAGATAGCCCAACTGCTAAGAACACTGGCTTCTCTTCCAGAGGACTCAGGTTTGACTTCCAGCACCAAAATAGTGGCTTACAACTGTCTATAGCTCAGTACCAGGAGATTTGATATCCTCTTCTGGCCTCAGTGGACACCAGGCATGCATATGGTGCACAGACATACATGTAGAACAAAGCAACCATACACATGTGTATGTGTGTGCATGTATGTTGTGTTTTTAGAAGCTGAAAAGTACAAAAAAGTCAGCTTCAGTTGCTCCTACTCAGGCCTTTCTTACATGGAAGACAGGGCTAGAATGCTACTATAGGCTTCTCTTTGGTTCTTGTTTGTTTTTGTTTTACAAATCTCTAATGTCATTGTGGAGGCCAGACCCTTATGAACTAATCTAATTACTTTCCAAAGGTTGCACCTCCAGATGTATTAACATATGAATTCAGCAATTATTGTTCTGGACACATGAACATGGCAGGGCCCATTCAAAACACAGCTGAGGCACTGGGGCTTCTTAGAAGAAGTGAATTGATATGAGACCCAACATGGGGACCCCAAGTCTGTGCCGACAGGTTTAGGAAAAGAGTCTGGCTCTGCCTGGGTTCTTTCTACCCCCTAGATCTCTGCTCAAGGCTGCTCAAGGCTACAGGGACCGGCACCCTAATTTTCCATTGATGGACACATCAGAGGTACGTAGGAAGAAGAAAGAATCCTCTTTGGAAGGATTCAGCTCTCTTACCTCTTATCCAAATTGAATTTGAGCTCAGAGATTAAAAACTTACTCCTTTCCAGGAAATGAGGAGTTCTGCCAGGACCGCCCAGTCGAGAGAATAGGAACAAGATGCCTCATGCTGTTGATGAACTCCCAACTCTTAGAGCCTCGAGGGAAAGCAAGGAGATGGGCCAGTATCCCAGGCACTCCCATGTTTGTTCTCAGCTGGGCTTCACCCCCAGAGTGTGGGAAGTCCCTGGCTGCTCTGGCATCTACTGCTAGAAACTGTCCTGTGTTTACAGATTGTCTCAGTTCAGGGCGGATTATGAGAGGGTGGTAAGGAGAGGGTACTTTGTTCTAGTCTACCAACCATGCAACCTACCAACCATGAGACTGTGGTGAGTCTACTCAGGTTTCTGTAACTTGTTTTTGTGGTTGGTAGTTTGTTGATGCTCTTTATTTTTTTCACCTGGTGTTGGAAAGCAAACCCAGGGGTCACTCATAACCTATATGCTACATGCTCAGCCATGGATCTTGAGGTGACCACTCCGGCTCTACCCTCAGCTGTGGATATTGAGGTTTTCATTTGCTTATTTGAATGGTTTGGTTTGTCTTTTAATCCGTGCAACAAGATTATTGAATTTCTGACCTAGACTGCATAGTTTTTTGCATCTAATTATGAGTTCTGAGGAAGTAAGAGACGTTTACCTACGAGCAGAGTCATGTATGAAGACTAAGTTCTCAACCCAGCAAGTTTCTTTTACCTTAGACTGTTGAACACCCAGGGGAGGCAGCTTGTATCATCACTTCAGAACCATTCTGATGTTCGTCTCTGGATCCAGTCAAGGTAAGAGGCAGTCTCCCTGCCGGTTTGATGGCAAGTTGGGACATGTTCTACCTGGATTCTCTTAACTGAATTCCTCCTTCTGTGTTTTCAGCACAAATTTTCTCCATGGGGACAAAATCGCATCCAGTCTTTCTGCAAAACCTTAAACGTAAGTAGTAGTCACCTTTGATGGAGTCTGCTATCCTTCATTAGCCCCAGCCTTAACTTAGGGGTGATTATATCGGGTGAACCAGCAAACATTGACTGAGTGATTACTAACTACAGGCTTATATGCCAAAGAATATAAAGTGGTCTCTACTGTGCAGAAAGACACAAGTAAATGTAGAATATTATTATTTCTCTATTTTAACAAATTTAATTGATATTTTGTTTGCATGCGTGACTATGGGTGGGTTGGTGTGCCAAGGTGTACATGTGAAAAGGAGTTTTGGAGGGGTGGGTTCTCTTCCTTAATGTGGGTTCTGGGGCATCAAACCCAGGAAAACAGGTTGGTTCAGCAAGTGCCTTTACCCACTGACCCATCTCATCAGCCCTATTTTTCTCTCATAAACCATAGCAGATTGGCAGTTTCTGTCCTCCCATGCTAGGGCTGCCCAGACAGTCACAATTCTCTGGGTGGTTCAGTAACTCAGCTACTATAAGACTCTGTCACACAGATGCCATTAGGCCAGGATATATACTTTCTTGTTGGGTTTTTTTTTGAGGTACTTCATGATCTGTTTATATTGTATTGTAACAGAATGCCCCATATCGAGCAGAATTAAAACAAGAAGCATGTCTTCACATGTCAACACAGCTTGGATCTTACATCGTCTGGACTTGATGTCTGCATGGTGGGACTGCCTTGCCTATAGACTCACAAAGACGTCACTTCCCACCCCAGTAATCAACATGTGGAACTGGGGGGGGGGGCGCTGGGTAAACATGATCACTCTAAGACCCTTTCCCAGGGCCTTCACCAGTCCTCTACAGACATGAATGGACAGAATAGTTTAAAAAATTCAGGGGCTAGAGAAATGGCTCAACAGTTAAGAGCACTGGCTGCTCTTCCAGAGGTCCTGAATTCAATTCACAGCACCCACATGGCAGCTCACAGTTTTCTATGGGATCTGATGTCCTATTCTGGTGTGCAGATGTACATACAAATAAAACATAAATAAAATACATCAAAGAAGTAAATTTTTTTAAGTAGTTGTGAGTCTACTGATTTCCCTGTGTTCCAAGCATCTATACTTCTGCAGATAAAACCTTACTACCAATAAAGCCACAATATCTAGAAATGTTTCATTTTCTAGAATGTCCCTTTTGATAAAGTGGCACGACATTAGGGAGGGCTAGCTTAGTCTGTTTTCTGTCTCATAACAAGATAGCAGAGGCTGAGTAGTTTCTAGAAGAAAGGAGTCCATTTTCTTCATGGTTTTAGAGTCTAAGAGCATGGTGATGGTTTCTGGTCCACTCTGGCATGGCTTCATGGAAGATGGTGTAATATACTGAAAGTGCGTGAAAGGGGCGGGGTCCATACAAGGGAGGACAGAGGGCGAGGGAGAAGAAAGTCACACGGGGATACAAGAGGTAAGAAGATTCAGGAGTATCAGTTTCTCTTATGACAACCCAGTCTCTGGAGACAGAGAGACAGAGACAGACAGACAGACAGACAGACAGACAGACAGACAGACAGAGACAAAGACAGAAATAGGGAAAACACTTCATGCATCTTAGTTAGAATTTCTATTGCTGTGATAACACCCTGACCAAAATCAGCTTGGAGAGGAAAGGGTTTATTTCACTTCCACATCACAGTTCATCATCCAGGGAAGTCAAGGCAGGAATTCAAACAGGGCAGGAAGCGAGAGGCAGGAGCTAAAGCCGAGATTACAGAGGACTGTTGCTCACTGGCTTGCCCCTCAAGACTTGCTCAGCCCGCCTTCTTATGTACCCCAGGACCACTTGCCCAGGGGTAGCATCACCCACATTGTCCTGGGACTCTCTCATCAATAAATGCACCGTGGCTTGCCCGCAGAACAATCAGATGGGGGCATTTTCTCAGTTGAGGTTTCCTCTTCCAAAATGATTCTAGATTGGGTCAAATTGACATAAAAACTAGCCAGCACACCCTCGTAAATGCCTAATCACCTCCCATTAGGCCCTACCTCTTCAATACCCCACCATGTTGGAACATCACCATGTTGGGGACCAAGCTTTCGAAACCCAAACTGTTCAGGGACATGCGCAAACAATATGGAGTAATATGGGAACTGCCTACCTACTGGGGAGCAGGTGGCTCAGAGCAACATTTCGTTCATCATGTCCCAGCCTATCTTGATCAGGAGGTTAGGCACAGCATTGTCAGGCTCTTAGATCCAGGCTTCTTGCAAAGACACAACCAAGTTTTAGTCCAGGGTTAGGGTCTCATCTGAAGCTCAAGGGAGGAAGGATTGTTGGCAGGACTCAATGCCTGGAGACTGCCAGTCTGAGACAGCTCTCATCATGCCTTGTGTGACTCCCCAAAATGTTCACTTGCCTCATCAGAGAGTGAAAACCAAGAGGGCAGTAGAAAGTCAGCTAGCAAGGGTGAGCTACAATTGCAGTCATCTTTGATGTATTGTTGTTAAAAGTTAGGTTGGGGGACCCATCCATACTCAAGAGATAGGCACGCATACTAAGTGTGCAAATGTGAATACCAGCAGATGGGGATCATTGAGGGGCCTCTCTAGAGGCTGTCTGCCACAAGTTATGTGTGTTGTGTGCAGAATTGAGACCCAAAGTAAACATATTCTCTCTCTCTCTCTCTCTCTCTCTCTCTCTCTCTCTCTCTCTCTCTCTCTCTCCAACTTGTTATAAGAAGTTATCTGGGAAAAGAAGCTTCAATGTCAAGGGCAAACCTCTAATTCACACAATATATGTCATAGACTATCAAAGGAGTTCTTGAGTCTAGAGTGCTCCCAACACATTGGAGATGCTTAAGAAACAAAAACAAGGGCTGGAGAAATGACTCAGAGGTTAAGAGTACTGGCTACTCTTTCTGAAGTCCTGAGTTCAATTCCCAGTAACCACATGGTGGCTCACAACCATCTATAATGAGATCTGGTGCCCTCTTCTGGTGTGCAGACAGACACACAGGCAAAACACTATATATATATATATATATATATATATATATATAAATCTTTTTTAAAATAGAGACAAAAGCAAACAGCTGCCTACTCTCATGCAGCACAAAATATAAAAGGGAATTGTTTTTTGAAGGAAGGGTCCAAAAGAGTTCCAGGGAAAGGGTGTGTCCATCAAATGCCAAGGGGAAGAATAACAGAGACTGTAGCAAACAAGGAGCACTTACGTGTTTATCCGTCGTCTACTCTATCATCTAGAGTGCTCCTCACACCCTGCCATGTCAGACAGCATCTGTAGATATGTCTGTCTTATATTAACAATGAAAACTCAGGAGTCTGAGGAGTTAACTTGACCAAAGTTGCATGACTTAGGCAATGCTCCAGTGTGAAGATATGAACGGGAAGAAAGAAGTGTACAGAAAATGGGTGCTTTCCAACAAATGGTGCTGGAACAACTGGGCACCCATTGGCAAACACACACCATTGCCCCCCCTATTTCATATAATATACAAAAATTAACAGAAGTTGGATCAAAGTCCTATGCAACAGCTAAACCTACAAGGCTCTTTGATGAAACAGTCAGAAATAAGCAGAAGTTTTTGTGGGGTTGGGAGCCAATTTGTTGGCACACAAAAGAGTTCCAAATAGCCCGGAATGGAATATAAAAAGGTTTATTTATCCAGGGATAAACTCACAGAAAGAGTAGCAATCTGCAGTTCTTTGCATGTGTTGGGAACTGGAACTGAATCCAGCAGCCAAGAAGTACACTTTTCGTCTACATTTATAGTACTAGAGACCACGCCCAAAGTGGGACGGTATCTTAAAGGCTATTGGCTGAAGGAGTTTTCACAGAAGATAGGATGAAGCTATGGCTTGTGTCTCTATGACTACACCCCCAGTCCCTTTGTGACCTTGAGCTAAACATTTTCTTAAACACTGAAAGCATCGGCAGTCAAAGGAAATGGGGATGAATTGATCATCACAAACATTTAAATCTTTTTTGTCTATGGCAGCACAGGCTGTAGTCCCAGTACTTAGAAGCCTGAAGCAGGAAGATTTTCAGTTTGAGGCCAGGGTGACAGAAGCCTGAAGCAGGAAGATTTTCAGTTTGAGGCCAGGGTGACATAGCAATACCCTGCCTGGAAAATAAAACGAAATCGCAACAACGAATAATAATAGGAACAGTATATGTTTGTGCATCAAAGAATAGCAGCAAGGAAGTTCTGGGAAATATAACCAACACAATGGGAGCTAATGTCTTCAATTCATTTATCCAGAGAATTTTCATGTGAAGAACTCTTATGGGGCTGGAGAGATGGCTCAGTGCTCAGCTAAGAGCACTGACTGCTCTTCCAAAGGACCCAGGTGCAATCCCCAGCACCCACATGGTGCCTCACAAATTGACTGTAACTCAATTTCCTGTGGCTCCAACTTCCTCACAAAGACATGCATGCCAAACACCAATGCATATAAATATTTAAAACAGTTTTAAAAGAACTCTTATAACCCAATAATAAAAAGACAAAAGATATAATTTAGAAATAAGTCAAAGATCATGTGGACGTTTCTCCAGAGGATGAACACATGGCCAATAAGTACACCCAAAGATTCTCAACATCACTGGCAACCATGAAAATTCAGATTAAATCCATAATGAAATAATATTTTATACTGTAAGAGTGTCAAAAATAAAAGAAGAAGAGGAGGAGGTGCTGGTGTTGGTGTTGCTGAGGATATATGTAAAATTAGAGCAGCGTAAACCTGCTGGCAGGCATATAAACCGGTGCAGCTTCTCTGGAAAAACCAGGCAGTTTTCCAAAGGCAAAACCAACTTATCGTGTGACCCATTGATCCACTCCTAGACTCGACCTAAAAGCTTTGGTCCACACACAATCCTATGCACCAAAGCTCAAAGCAGCACGCCTCCAAAAAGACCCAAAATAGAGCCTTTCCCATGTCTGTCTGTCCATTTGCCCATCCCAGATGAATGAGGAAAAGTTGGGCTTATCCATATGATGGGGAAATATTCCGAAGAAATGAAGTACATATGGGTGCTGCTACAACATGGCTCGGCTTTGAAAACATCACACTAAGTGAAAGCAGATGATTCTGTTCGTATGAAATGTCTAAAATAGGCCGAGCTGTAGGCAGGAAAAACTGAAGAAAATGGGAGGGTTGAAGGTGATGATTGCGTAATTCTGTGGACACCCTAAAATCCACAAGGTTTTTTCAGAGAAAGAAGAACGAGATCAAGGCAGGCTTACTTTCCTAGGATAGCAATTTTCAGCTTGGGGTCCTGAACTCTCTAAAGCAGCATAGAAGGAAGGGCATCTGTACAGTTTTGTTGTTTATTTGTTTGTTTTCTATTTAAGATGGCAGCTTTCCTCATGTTTTCCAGAGAGTCAAACCACAATAACTCCTTCAAGCTGGCCTGGAGTGATGGTGGTTCATCCCTGATGAAGCCCCTTCGGGTTTTCCTCCTGGCTTGGTGTGGGAGGGACAGGCTTCAAGGCCAGATCTCATTTCCTGTCTGTTTAATCTCCACTCAGCTGTGTAGAGTTGGGTTAGCCAGCAGCCCAGGCCCTTGCTCTTCCCAGCGCCGTCCCCTCTGTGGCACTCTGCCACTCAGCCTTCTCCCAGATGTGCCTGCAGAGACCTGCCTGCCGAGCTCCCCAAAAATGGATAGCCGCTCTCTTTCCAGTTTGAAAAAGACGTGTAGACAGCTAGCTCCAGGGCCCTGGACTCCAACGTTAGAGTTGGAATGGCCCAGAAGTAGGGTCACAGTTCTGGTCAGCTGCAGACACTCTTGCTTTCAAGGCTGCTAACTTAGCATGACTGAGGAGTTCAACCCTCATTCTTGCAAAAAAGCACCATCGTTGTGTAAGGTTCACTTAACTGTCTCCTCAGCCAAAGGAGAATGACCATGGCTGCCTGGGAGCAAGCAGCTCACAGCTGTCCCTAGTCGACTCACTCATCTTCCTCACAAGGCTTCA